GGACTAAAATGATAAGGGGGTCCAATTACAGAACTAAAAAAACAGTTTATCCTACTACTACTACTATTATATTATTATTAGGGTTAACTATTTTTTAGTCCCGTAATTGGACCCCATTATCATTTTAGTCCCGTAAGTGGAGCCTGTCGCAAATTAGTCCCATAAGAGGAAAATTTTCGTTGTTTTAGTCCTCTGGCGCCGGAGACGACCGCGTGGCTCTCCGGAAACCACGTGTCCGCCAGGTCAGCAACACCTGGCTGACACGTGAATTTTTTTTTTTTATTTTTTTTTTCATTTTTTAATTTTTTTTTAATTGGATCAAATAAAAAAAATTAAAAAAATCAAATAAAATAAATAATAAATTAAAATAATTTTTTAAAAAAAATTAAAAGTAAAAAATAAAATCCACGTGTCCGCCAGGTGTTGCTAATCCGACGGACATGTGGCCTCCAGCGAGCCATGCAGGCTTCTCAGGCGCCGAAGGACTAAAGCAATGATATTTTTTTTTTTTACTTATGAGACTAATTTGCGACGGACTCCATTTACGAGATTCAAATAATAAAGGGGTCCAATTACGGAATTAAAAAAACAGTTTACCTTTTATTATTATTATTATTATTATTATTATTATTATTATTATTATTATTATTACTATTCATGTTCTTGGTAACAATATAAATAATGTATTCTTATAACACATGTGCTAAGCTTATGTTGTTTTCTATGCTAAAACATAAGCTTGTGTTGTTATTTATTTATTTTTATATATTTTAAACGTGAAAATTTACAGTCATTAATGCACTTTAAATATATTATCAATTAAATTTAATAGTATGCAAATTAAATTCGAAAAGACAAGCGGCACAAACTATGTGGTAGAAATCTCACACTCATTCAACACAGTAATTCAACAACTTTAAATTATTTGAAATATAAACAATTGTTATTTTTATAAATTATTATATTTATCTGGATATTTATAAACATATTTTTAATATATATTTTCATTATTACTTACAATGTATATTTATTTTAAAAAGTTATATCTAATAATTTTAAAAGAAATTAAATCAAATAAAATTTTGATAATATCATTTAAATATTAATTTGAAATAATTTAAAAATCATAAATAATACATATTTTCATTATTACTTACAATGTATACTTATTTTAAAAAGTTATATCTAATAATTATAAAAAAAATTAAATCAAATAAATTTTTAATAATATCATTTAAATAATAATCTAAAATAATTTAAAAATTATAAATAATACATATACGATCATCCACAGTGCAAAACTCATATTTAGGGGCTTGTTTCTTTTGTCGTCGGCGTTTTCACTGTGCAAACTGTGCACAGTGAAAACTCCCAAACTTGGGTTGTTTGTGTTTTGGAGGACAAAGTCTAAAAAGGCATTGTCTCCTTTTTTTTTTTTTTTTTTTTTTTAATAAAATAATAAAATTTTGAAAATTATAAATTTAAAAAAAATTATAATAATTATAATTAAATAAAATATATATACAATATATATTATTTTGTAGAAAATAAATTTTTTTATAATAAAAATAAATAAAAATTTACAAATGTATATGTATATATAAAATATATTTATATATTTTATACAAATTAATACAAATTTATATTATTATAGGTCTGTTGTCTACAGTTTCGCCGACACAAATTGCAGCAGATTTGACTTTATTTTTTTTTTAAATTAAAATATAATGTGTGTTTGAAAAATTTTAGTTTGGATTTGGTATTAAAATAATGTTTGATGGGATGTTTTGTTTAAGAAAAAAATGTATTTTTTTTCGCGAAAAGCATAGTCCAAATACTAAATTTGGGGAAAAAATATATACAATATATATGTCATTTTGTAGATAATAAATTTTTTTTATAATACAAATAAATAAAAATTTAAATATATATACGTTGGGTATAATATAAATTCATAATCAAATTATACAATATAAATTTTATCAATTAAATTTAATACATATTTATATTATTTTATTCATTATCTATCAAATCAATACATATCAAAACTCCCAAAACTCCAACCAAATTCAAATACAAAAGAAAGAACAAAATTCAAATCCTCTTAATCATTCTCTCGTCAATTCATTTCATTAAATGATTAAAAATTTATTTTATAAAGTACATAAACAAAAATAAATGAATTCAGACTCATTCTCTCTCCTAACTCCAGGAAAGAGAAAGAAATATTTTTTCGGTTCACTTACCATCCATGTCTAATTGTTTCTGTTCGTTTTATATTCCATATCATATTTTTTTTTAAAAAAAATTATATTATTTAATTTCATTTTAAATTTTTTAATTTAATTTTTTTTGTGTAACATTGTTCTTGCTTAATTCTTTTACAAGAATGTTCTTAACTTATTTTTATTTGTTTTATTTTTTTTAGACATGGAAATGCCACTTAGATATTTACAGGTTTTCTCATGTATAAGAACTCTCATTGCACATGATCTTAGAGCAACCGACAATGGTTGTTCAATAACATGTCTTATAAATTTGATGTCTCCAAAAATTTTTATATCCAAAATATTTAAAATTTAAAAACTATTACAATGACTCTTAGAAAGAGAGAAATTGAGAAGTGAAAAATTAAAGAGAGAAGAAATTGTGTGAGAGAAAAAAGTGAAAGGAAAGAGGAGAGAAGAGAGTGGAAAAAATAGTGTCTGAAAAAGTAATAAAAAGAAGAAAGAGAGGAGAGAGAGAGCATGAGAAGCCATTGCCTACGAGAAGGCATGGTTAGACATTTTAATTTTTCTGCCTCAAAAAATAAGTCACTGTATAATTATTTTTTAATTCGTGGATGAAAAATCATCGATTTAATTGGAAAACCATAAAAAAAGGGCCAGTGTCGTTGCTCTTAAGAGCAAAGACAATGATTTAAATGTGAAAGGCCATCTTTGTACTTTAGAAGTTTTTTTTGTGCACCTTTCAAAATAAGTTACACAACAGAACGTGAATAGATGCCAAAATTTCGATATCAGAGCGACCCAGCATGATGCAGAAGAAGCCCTAGCAACCACAATGGTTCTCAATTAATAAGCATCCACAATCTGATGTGTCCGATCCAAACTATCTGAAATGTAAAAATGTAGTGTAGTGGCTTTTTGTTTGATAGAAAAAAGAATAGAAAGAGAAAATGAAAGAGAAAGAGAGAATAGGTGAGAGAGAGAATAATAGAAAGAGAGAGAAAGAAAATGACATAGAAAAAGTATGGCAGAGAGTAAAGAAAAAAAAAATGGAGAGAGAGACAGAAACAAAATAAATATCACAGGCACAGGCTTGTACATACCTTCGCCTGCACCAAGCCACTCCCAAGCTTTGCAATTTTTTCTGTCAGAACAAGAGCCATTGCATGATCATTTTTCAAAAAAAACTTCATTTTCAACTTACAAGTCTTCTATAATTAAGTCCTTACAAATGCTTTTAGAGCAATACGAGTGGCTCTTATGAAAAAAGCCATCAAAATCCAATGTGTCAATGTCATTTTTAAGACAAAATAAAATATATGTAAAAAATGATCTAATGGTTCTTTTAATCCTTACACATCATCTTTAAAATATTTGCATGAAAATGAAAATTCCTCACTACTCTCAACTAAGTCTTCTTCACCCAAATCTCGTCGACTAGGTCTTTCTTCACCCAAATCTCGTCAGAACCAAAATTATACATACCGTCTCCACAAATTCTTGCAGGCGACGGATGGTCCACAAAAACAATCACTCAAACACAACTTCTGTTTTCATTTGAACGAATTCCTCCTACTACTTGTGATAGAACGATCGCAAAAATATAAAACAAAATTTTTTCACAAAACTTCAACGACAAAAAGGCAGCCAAGAGAATACCTTATGTGGAGAGAAGAGAAGAGAGAAATACAGAACCAAAGAACTTGATCTAGAGAAGAGAGAAGAAAAAACAAAATTCACACGAACTTGATTTGGAGAAGAAGAGAGAAGAAAAAGAAAATTCAAACCCCCGATGAGGCTTCGGTGCACGATGCTGTGTTGCTTTTGAAACAAAAATACAGCATGGACTATGAAGCTGTTAGAGCAACTGTAACGGTACAGGGAAAAAAAAGCTTCGTTAGTTTACTTGTCCAAGTAATATTCTATATTTTTATTAAAGAGAGAAAAATTGAGCAACAGTTATATTTGAGAGAGAAAAAAAAAAAGAGGAAAAAAAAAAAAGAGGATACACAATGAGGAGAGAGAAAGTAAAAAGAGGACAGAAGAAAGTAAGAATGTAGAAAGAGAAAAAAAAAATGGAAGAGGAAAGAGACAGAGGGAAAGAAAGTAAATGTATAAACTGAATTGGGCTTCGTCTTCACCAAGCACGATCAAATTTTTTTATTTTTTTTTAATTAAAATATAAGTCATTGCATTGTATTTTTTGAAATGTCCTGAAATAAAACTTCTAGTCTGACAAAGAAGTTGTTTATATTAAAGCCATTGTAATTGCTCTTATGTGACGTTGTCTTAGAACTGATTTTTCTCTCATCCATTCTACATGTTATCTTCGTCTATTTCTGTGCAAGTGTTTTTTTTTTTTCTGAAATTCTACAATTCTCTCCCGCCGTCCTGGTCGGCTTTCCTCCGGCGATCATTTTCTCTCGGAGTCTCCGGTGGTTTTCATTATATTTGGGTTGAGTGGAATGTTCAGAGTGGTACGAAGGCTGTCCGTAGTTGGAGAAGCAGTCTGGTGGAGCTGGACGTTGTCCGCTGCCGTCGCTCGCCAATTGATCCGGTCGTTGGTCGATTGAAAGAAAAAAAAGAAATCAAATCTTGTGACTGGAAATCAAAACATAAAAAGTAATCTCTCAATTTCAAACTTTAGTTTAATGTTGTATTTGCTTTAGTTCTTAATTGAAATTTTCAGAATATCTTTTTATGTTTTTTTTTTTTTAATTGGAAAAATATTGATCTAATCACAGTTGGCATATTCATTTGCTCTGGTAGTCATTTAATATTTTCAAATCTCTATTCCTCCACGGGTTGTGGCTTCCACGTCATTAAAAAAAAAAATTATATATCTCTATTCCAAGATATGAATTGAATCGGAACAAATTTTGGTTGAACAAATTGATGATTTTGAGTTAGTATTGATTTTGGCAGTCTAAAACTAAAGCAAAAAAAAATATTGAAGCAGCATCAGAAGTAAGTTTTTGTAAGCCATTGTGTTAGAAAAATTTCAAAGCGTCCATCGTACAATTGTTAGGTTGGACACGTGTTTGTGGTTGTTTTTATTAATATCTAATCTTAGATAGCATAGGATTGATCGGTGAAAAGCTCATACACATTTTCATTAAATAATATAAATATCTAGTAAAATAGAAAAATAGCAGTTCAAACCGAGATACAAAACAATCCAACCCCAACCTTCTTAAGTGCATAATGAAGTTTCGATGCCTACAATAGAGTTTTATCTCTAAACGAACTCCCATGTCACCAAAAAAATAAATAAAAATTACCTCGTAATAGTGTGAGGAGTAGACCCGTAAGTGTGAGATCCTAAATTCAAAACCTCCTAACGCCTCTTGGTTTTGTTCGATTAGTATGACTTACTACTTTTAACTTGCCGGCGTAATTTGCAGATGTTGAGACTCTTTAGAGCAAGCACTAGATCGGCCAAGTTAGCCTTGTATTTCTGGAATAGCAGCATTACCCTCTAGGTCATACGAAAACATTTTCCCAGACCGGCTCTTCCAGATCGGCCGATCAGCTGATGCTTTAGAGACTGGAGAGATCAATAATGACTCCATTCCAGTCCAAGGATTATATATAAATATATATATATATATATATTACTTCATCTTACAAAAACCTGGATCAATAACACTCTTGACATCGCCAATAGCCAAAGAAATCTCAGCAGTATTTGTCGCTCAGGCACATGATGATAAGTTTGCTATTTTTGTTCCCAACCCTCTCATTCGATGCTCAAGAATCTCTTCAGCAGTTTCTATCTCCTCCTGCCCATTTAAGAAAACCGGAATATCGCCCATCAACAGGGGTCGGGTCACATGGATTTGCTGTGCAGTAACCATAGCTGCATCGAAATAATCAGCTTCGGGGGCCTTGGTATATAATGTATTTCAACATAATAATATCTCCTTCCGGGCATTTTAAAATTTGGAGCAAAATCAAAATAATCGCCTGAACGTCTCAGCATAGAGTGCTGCACTTGAAATAAGCAAATTTGAGGTGAGTATAGAACCATGAGATTTCCTTATCACGCAAAAAAGGGTAGAGTAGGGCAAGGGACAGCTGCAAAATACTAATCACTTCGGACCTGATCTTAAGCTTCCACTAGACTTTCTAATGAGTTTGCAATGCCCTTCAGAGTTCAGTCCTTACTTCGCCATTATTGTACCTTGAAGTCAACAAATAAGAGGTTCGCGAAGCCAAATAAAATGTCGGTTGACAGTGTTCTTTCATGGGCCTTATCAACGAGCGCCACACTGAAATAAATACAATAATATCCATTACTCCAAACACATGAAATCATCGCACAACTATTTTAATGTGAATTTCTGATGTATAGTCTTCAAATCAAATAGAATAAACAACCTAAAAAGAGCAAACTTTGTCAGAATAGCCTTCAACGCCCACGTCCATGCAACGGAAACACAAACAGTAATTTTAAACTAAGGATAGATCATCAGAAACAAATCAGTTTCTAATTTTTATTTTTTAATTTTTAATTTATTTTGGTATATAACAAAATGCAAATTTGAATCCTAATTTATTGCAAATTTAAAATGATGTTACTACTTGACATCTCTAGATAATACATTGTTAGTTTTCCCAATGCCAAATGGAATAGCATGAGCTGCCGAACACCCTTACGACAAAAGAAGAAGATATACCTCATACCCCAGTTTTACACCGATTTCTTGAGAAACTCGAACAGCAGCACTCATTTCCACAAAACAACAAATGCACCCCAGTTCCTAGTGTCCGAAGAAAACATTAGCAATAGAACTTCAATGGAACACCCAATAAAAAATAGTATAATAACAATGCCATAATCTTACTACATAAAAACATTGCATTGATAAAGATGGAATATATAATTGGCCAAACATAATCGAACACAAGAAGATTACTGAAACTGAGAAATATCAAAGGAAAGAACAAACAATCTGTAGTTCCACAAGTTTTTAACAATAACACAATGAAATTCATATAAATATAGCCCAGCTGGCTAATTCAAGCAAATCGAACAATACCAGTTATCGCATAAATCTTGATGGATAACTTCAATATACACAACAAGAAGCTAAGATCGAAAAACGCACTGTGCCTTTCCTCTCTTGGGTATTTCTGTAGTGCACTACAAAATAAGGATAAAGCCGAAAAATCAGAATAGGAATCAACGAATCTTTATCAAATTGAAGTTTATAAAGAATGATTTGCTTACCCAACCAGAATTGCAGCATATCGTAGTGCAGAACGATTACGACATAATGACATAAATTTTGGAGTACAGTATGAACTTACATAAAAATCATCAACTTCAGCTCCCTCCAATCACAATGGTTCAAGCAAATCTATTAATAATGTTAAGAAGTATAGAATTATTTCCTCTGGTTTTCTGTAAGTCGAGCAACAACACAGATGTAGAAGAATCCGGGAAAAACCCTCTCTCCGACATCTCTTGAAAAAACACTGCTGCCTCGCCGAATTCACCCTTCGCAAGAAATGCTCTAACAAGGACATTGTAGACAAGATCGTTTGGAAACCAACCTTTTTGTTTCATTTTCACAAAAAATAATTTAGCCTCCTCTAATTTACCATCTTGGCAACATCCACTTATCATTGTACCAAAAGTTACGATATCAGGTTGCAGTCCCTTCGAAGGGAGGTCATTGAAAAGAGCTCGTGCAACATCAAGCTTTCCAGCTTTGCACAATCCATCCATTGCTATATTATAGTAATTCTGATGAAGATCGATTCCCTTGCTCTCCAATTCAACCAACAACGACATTACTTGTTCAACTTGTCCGTTACTACATAAGCCGTCCATCATATTGCAATATGTAAAAAAATCCGGTTTATGTCCCCGGGCTTGCATTTCATCGAATAACTCAAGTGCAGCTGAGCATCTAGACACACTAAATAGCCCCTGCAATACAGTATTGTACGTAGGCAAGTCAAGTTTTAACCTTCTATCCACCATCTCCTGAAAGAGATTCAAGGCGTCGTCTATTTTCTTACTCTTGCAATAACCATTTATCAAGATATTGTAGGTAAAAGTGTCGGGAGAAATTCTCGCACCAACCATCGACTTCAACACATTACTTGCATCATCCATTCGGCCTAGCAAACAAAAACCATCCATCAAAGAATTGTAAGTACGTATATCAGGCACCACATTGTTCTGCACCATAATAAAAATTACGTCGTCCGCCTCATCCACCAAACCTTCCTTACACAAAGCGTCTATCAAAACATTGAAAACGACAACATCAGGGTATACTCTGCAGTGAACCATGTCCTTCACTAGGAATTTAGCTTCCTGTAATCGGCTCAAACTGCACAATCCATGAAGCAGCGAGGTGTAAGTTACAACATCAGGGACGACGCCCTTTCTAAGCATTTCATAGAAAAGCTTAACAGCAGAATCTATCAACCCACCCTTGCAAAAGCCATTAATAAGTGAGGTGTAAACATAATTGTCCGGCGAACAGTTCCTTCGCGGCATAACTCGAAACAATTCAAAGGCTCTTTGAGTTTCCCCGGCCTTACAAAGACCATCTATCACAATACCATACAGAACAACATTAAGTTCAGACGAAGCAAATCTTTCAATCTTCCTAAACAATTCTTGTGCCTCATCAATCCTATTTCCTTGAAACAAACTCTTCAACAATGGACTGAAAGACGATGCATTAGGTTCAAGGCCAAGCTTAAAAAACCACCCCAACAGGGAAAATCCATACCCTACCGAATTCAAAGAACAATAGCAATTAATTGCAATACTCATAGTATACTCACTAACTGCAATCCCCAATCCGCAAATATCTTTAAAGACAAAAATGGCTGTCGAATACTCTCTTAATTTAACTAAACATGAAAGCAGCTTATTGAATTCTCGCACACAAGGCATGGATTTCATTTTAACCATATGGTCATACACGCGCAGAGCATCGTCGACGCCATTGATAATTTCGAACCTGAGCTTGAAATTCTCAGCTTTCGAGCAATCCGATGGTGATTGTGCATCAAATTGGCCGCGGAAGAGAAGTAGGTTTCGACTGCGGGATTGAAATAAAGCTGATTTGTAAGAAATCTTCTGAGGAGCCAAGAGTTGCCCTAAAAAAATTCTCTTCATCCCCCACAAAAATCATACTCCAATCTTCTTCAACATTGGTGTTCAATCCTGAAATAAACCAAGGTAGTTCTCCTCAAATCCTCCCCTATTGTGTTGTGACAGAGTAGCACTCACCTATGTCGATCTTTCTTGTTCTTCCCAACACTGGCACAAGCGAGACCAACCCAAACCTAATTTTCTCGATTTCTCTCCCACCCACGGCCTTTGGAAACGGAGCAGAGCAGAGCAACGCAAACCCAAACCTAATTTTTCTAATTTCTCCCCCAATTTCCCAATGTTTCCGGGGTATATGCGTGTTTTCGTCGGAAGCGGAGGAGAATGAGGAAAATGAAGAAATGTTGGCAGGCGAGAACGATGGACGAAAACGAAGATGACTGGGCTTTGGACGAGGTTTTAGTTTTCTCCTTTTTATATATCCCCTTTAATTTACATATTTTCATTTGAATAAATTATTGTTTAAATATATATATTTAATAAATACAGAGGTCTGTTTGGTTGGAGGGTTTACGAAGAAAGGAGAGGGGAGGAGAAATGATGGAATTCTAAAAAAATTTTGTGTTTGGTTAAAATTTTTTAAGAGGGGAGGAGAAGAGAAGAGAAGAGAAGAGAAGAGAGGAGAGAAGATTTAATTTGTTTAGATTTTTATTCCCTCAGGAATTTGGAGTGGAGGAATTTTATTAAATAATTTTTGCCTACTGTATCCTTTTTTTAACATTTTATTAAATTTTTATAATATTTTTAAATTTTAATATTTATTTATTTTATTTTTTTAATTATACGAATAAATATTAATGTATTTTTTTGTGCATATATCTAAATTATATTATATATTTTAAATTAAAATTTACAATAAATTTAGTGTAATATTTTCAAAAAATAATATATAATATTTTTTAAAAAAATAAATAATTTTAAATTAATTTAGTTTTAAATAGTTGAATTTAATTATAATAATTGATTTTATCAAATAACCATATTATAAAAAATTAATATAATTTTTATAACTGATTTAGTTTGTATAAATTTTACCATATCTATTCTTATATTTGTATATAAAATTATTATTTTTCTTTATTTTGATTTTAATAAATACTTACATTATTTAAAACAAATCACATTAATTTAATTCAAATATATTTTAAAATACTTTTAAATAAATTTAATCGAATTTATTTTATAATTAAGTATATATTTTAATTAATCTTGTTTAAATAATTTGATTTAGTTTAATAATTAATTTAATTTATATAAGTAGATTTGATTTTGACATGATAAGATAAGACTTGGTCTTTATTATATACTTAATTTATATATGATTTTATGTTATGTTGTTACTATTTATAAGTAAATTATGGTTTATCGGTGATGTTAATAAATATCTCATGTATGATTAAGTAATGTGGAATTGAAACAGCACGATGGACTCATATATATTGTTTTCTTATGAATAATTCAGACCAACTTCAAACTATTATTGAATGTCCACCCAAGCACGCACATCGGTCATTATGTATATAATGTTTGGTTCTTCCGATGATTTATAATGTAGTTTTTGTTTTATTATATTATACAAAAAAATTTTGTATCATGTTTTATGAATAAATTAATCAAATTTTATTAAATACTTTTATTTTTTTTTATTTATATGATATAGGGGCAAAATAGTAAAATTATTCTATTTTCCTTTCTGTCCCCTACCTAACCAAACACAAAAATATTGTTTTCCCTCGCCTCCCTTCCCTTCCATATGAACCAAACACACTATTACAATTTTAATATTCTTTCCCCTCCCTTCTATTAAAATCCCTCCCCTTCCCTCCCCTCTCCTCGTTTGAACCAAACAGACCGTAAGTTTTCTAACATTTAATATTCCTTCGGTCTCCTGCTACAAATTTATAAATTTATTTATTTTAAATATATTTAAGAGAAAAAAATATTTTTATCTTATTTAATATTATAATTATCAATTTTGGTTTCATTTATTATTATTTTTATTAATTTTGGCCTCACTCAATTGAAAATTTATCAATTTTAGTCCAAGATAGTTGACTGGGACTGAACACGGCTGTGTTGGATGACTCAGAAGGTGACTGGGCGTCCCAACGGCTGTGTTCATGCCCGTGTTCCTGCCCGTATTCTTAACACAGTCATATTCCTACCATGTTCTCAATGCAAAGATGTTCTCAACACAGACATGTCTTAGGCCATGTTCACGAACTTGTTCTCAACATAGTCATGTTTTAGGCCATGTTCACGACCATATTTTCAATATATTCATATTGTAGATAATGTTTATTATTATTTTCACTTATTGGTTAAAATTATTTTATATACTAAAACATGGTCGTGAACATGGCCTAAAACATGATTGTGTTGAGAACAGAGACGTGAACATGGCCTAGAACATGGTTGTGTTGAGAACATGGGCAGGAACATGGTTGTGTTCAGAACACGGACATGAACACAGTCGTGTTCAGAAGTGCAGGGTAATCAACATGGCCGTGTCGGTTGCTTGGGATGCCCAATCACCTTCTGAGTTATCCAATACGGTCGTGTTCAAACCAACACGGCCATGTTCAGTCTCAATCAACCATTTTGGAACTAAAATTGATAAATTTTCAATTGAGTGAGATTGATAAAAAAAATTTTGAATGAGACCAAAATTAATAATTATAATATTGAATGAGACCAAAAATATTTTTTTTTCTCTATATTTAATAAATATAGATTAATTAAATTAAATATCTAATCTAACTTTCATTTTAAATTTTTTATTTTTATATTTTTTTCAATAAAAAAATATTTATATACATTTCAAATTTTTTATTTTTTATAAAATTAATTTTAAATAAATAAATAGTATATTTTATTTGTATTGTATAAAATTTTATTATTTATAAAATGATATTCATATTGTATATACATTCTGTCCCACTTTAAAGTAATTTTTTATTATTTTTGTCCGTCACACTTCAAAGTGTCATTTTTTTATTTTAAAAATAAGTAATCAAATACTAATATCAAAATACTGTTAACTTTTACTTAAATTACAAATATATCATTACATATACAATTACTTTATATATAAAATCACAGGGCAAAAATGTCAAAAATTCTTGCACACTCCTACTAATTAATAAAATACTATTATTTCTTAATCTATTATCAAATCCCAAAATATTCATTTGATTTGGGACGGAGGAAGTATATTTTATTAGGTTGTTGATCTTGTGTTGATCCGACCAAGTCAGTATGATATATGTATAAATATATATTAATTGTATAGTATATGCTAATCCGATCAAATCAACACAATATATTATATCAGCCGGTGATACATGCCCATGTAATTGAGATATAATGCTAAAGAATATTTAAACATATATTCTAAATTTTTTTTAATCATATATATTAATTTATATTTTCAAAATATAAATAACATTACTTAAATAAAAAATAATTATATAATATCATAACTTATTATTATTATGTCCAAAACGAATAGATCATTTGTTGCGAAACAAGGCGAGTATATGCACTAGGATCTATTGAAACTACTTTATTTATGTCGGGCACTAGCAATATAATATAAACAAAATGTTGGAACCTAAAATTCAAAGGTTCCAAGATGTTCGTCGATTCATCGGTGTGGGTTTCAGAAGTACTCCAAAGAGTCTGTCCTTCGTCGGATTAAGGGCGGCTCCTTCGGTGGAGCCTGCACGGCTTCGAGCCTAAACGAGGCTTCAAGCCTAAACGACCGATTTTGATAGATTTGAACTAATATCTACTAAAACTCAAATAAATCCACTGGAAAGCGGATAAAAACAAGCTGGAAACATAAATTAACAAGAAATTAAGATAATCTCCTAAAACATGGATAAACTAATAAAAACATAAAGACTTGTAGAGGATATGTGTGTTCTTCTCGTCGCGTGTTTTTATTAACCCATGACCAATGAAGGTAGTTATCCCATGATATGTGGAAGCTATTATTTTATATCTTGGGGAGGCAACCTTCCTTTGCTTTGTGGAAGGACCACAGTCCAATGGAGGTAGTTGTTTTCAACCCAATGGAGGCAGCAATTTATGACCTTATGGAAGCATTGTTCGATGATGCAGGCGCTATAGTCCAAAGAGTTGCTGCCCTAAGGTCCATGGAGACTGCTGCTTTCGGCCCTGTAGAAGCACCACAATCCAATGGAAGCTGTTGCCTTCGGCTCTGTGGAGGCAGCAGTCTTTGGCTCCGAGGCTTGAAGCTCCATTGCTGTTCGGCAGCTCCGTGGTCAAGGAGCTCTGGCTCCACTTTTATCTTTAAGCCTCCTTCACGTTCGGATGCTTGTGGACCCATGTCCATCAATGCCCTCCTCAAAAGGGCTAGGCGATTGCTTCGATTTAGCCCATGTTCTTTTGCTCTGAGCCGTTCGCTTGAATCAACTGTGGTCATTTCCGTCGATCAAGGATCCTTCTCGGCCTTCACTTCTTGGACTTCATTTCCATCCAAAAATATCAACTTTTGATGGAGTTTCGAAGGCACACACTCGCATGCATGAACCCAATTCCATCCCAAGAGAGCTGAATAGAATGGTCTACTATCGATCACCATGAAAGTTGATGATATTTCCTTTGTCCTCACCTGCACACTCAAAGTGACCATACCTGCTGGTTTGTAAGAATTCCCCATAAAATCGGTAAGCCGTACAAATATAGAAATCAAATCGTCATTAATCTTTCCGAACTTCCGTAAGGTCTCAATTGGCAACACATTCACAAAAGCTCCACTGTCCACCAGAACTTGGTCAAGCGGATAGCCATTCATCGAGACCCGAATGTGCAAAGGTTTGACATGTTGGTTTTGGCCAGGCCCGAGCCTCTTAAATTCTATCATGGTTGCCACATCATTCCATTTGAAGATAGGCTCTTCGTAAACGACAACTTCCTCTAACTCTTGAAATTCTTCCGGAGGCTCCTCCACTTGCTTCCTTAGCAGTTCCACAACCTACTTTCTTTCTTGAAGTGCTCCACAGCTTGCTTCCATGGCGCCTCCATGGCCTGCTTTCTTTCTGGAAGCGGTTCCACAACCTGCTTTCTTTCTGGAAGCGGCTCCACAGCCTACTTCCTAGCAACTCCACAGTCTGCTTTCTTTCTTGAAGCGGCTCCACAGCCTGCTTCTTTGGCGACTCCATGGCCTGCTTCCTTAGCAGCTCTGCAGCCTGCTTTCTTTCTGGAAGCGGCTTTTTGTACTACATTTTGATATTTGAATGTTAATGATTATATCAAAATGTAGTAAAAAAGGAAAATTGACAAAATTACTTATATTAGTGCCTTATAATACTAATAGAGAGACATTTTTACAAAAAACAATAGGCTAAATTGCACA